AAATTGACATAATTTTTTGTTGACTTTCATTAAAAATTTTCATTAGATAAGTTTAGTTATTTTATTGTCATAAAAAATAATTATCAAAGAATGAAAGTTTTATGATTTATTTTTTTTTATGCACAATACTAACATTAAAAATAAAAATTGTAATTCATTTAAAGCTATTTATACCATAAAAGACTTAACCGTATTTCCACCATTTTACGTTACGTCCAGTATTAATGTGTAAATTATAATACACAATACACTATGCAAAAATTAGTTCAACCTATAAACAATTGATAATATAAAAATAATTTAATGTTAAATATCATCTGATCTGTAATAAATTTTGATTCATCTGTCCTTTTCGCACTAAATCACTCTATACTTCGATTACAATAATTTATAAAGTTGCATATTATCATGATGTGTTACACTTAAAGTCTACTATCCAGCAATAACGAGTTCCCTTGTTTTTGAAATACATTAGTCAATGTGTTAGAATAAAAATAAAATATTTAATAGTATATTACGTACATAATTTTAAATACCTACAATCTACATATATTATTGTTTCTAAAAAACACTTTGTACACAGTGTTCGTTTATAAATTAATTTGTTTAAAATAATTAGTTTTTAACACCACTATTGTTTATGTTTTTAAATTTAATGTATGTATTTGTGTAAAAATCTCCTTTGTTCTCTTTTTAAAATTCTGATACGTATACCTATGATGTATTTTTAATTACCATCCACATTTGCTACATGCATGAATACGTTAGTTTTAATAAGATTTTTTCATGTTTTTAAAAATTTAGTATAATTTTTGCTATTTTTTTAATAACAAGTAATCTTAACCATACAATTTTAACCAGAAATAATGATTTATTTTATATTTGATTAGTTTCTCTAGTTTTATTTGAGAACACATTTTGAAAATAATAAATTGTGTATTATTATTCGAGTGTTTATTTTCGTATTATTTAGTTTGTCATTTTATAGTAATTAATGTAATAATTAGTATACAATTACATTTTTTTTTTATGTTATAACTTTATTATAACATAAAAAAAAACCCTTTGATTAAAAATTAATTTTTATTTAAATTCCCATGTCAATTATTAAATCATAACGATTTGTCTAAATATTTTATTTATTTATTTATTATTTTATTATATATATTAATTGCATGATTTTTTTTTTTTTTATATATAAACGAATCTTAATCAACATGTTTTCTATGACAATAATCTAGAATAACGTTGGCCTTTTTGTATACTTTTGTATAAATAATCAAATAAAATTTAAGGTGCCATTGTGAATTAACTTAATTGTTACTCAAGATTTTGTTACTTTACTTAGAATATCTTTGAACCCGATGGCCCGCTCCAAAATCTAAATCTTCTTTATTAATATTGTACCAAAGTTTTGCACAAACCTCCATAAAATATATACTTACAAATTCTTGATATGGACTGTTCCGGAAGCACACGCGCTTTATATATTAATACACCTTCGTACATCTTGCAGCTGCTATCTGTGTATGTATACAAATTAGACCGGTCGTACTGAACTCATACATTATATTGTTATTTATTTATAATATCAGCTGTGGCTTGGGTCTCAAATGGCTCAGTGACTATTTTGTAGCAGTTTTCATAACTTATGACAGTAATTAAGAGCTAAATAAATTTATATTTTCTTCTTTTTTTTTCGAAAAACAATCAGTTTATTTTAAGGTGACGTAAGGTTTCACTTAAAATAAAACTGTTTTTAAGTATTACGTTCCGTTTTCCAATAAAATTTCTATGAAATGGTTTTTATTATAAATAATATTTAATTCGTTTATAGACTTTTTTGATATAACTATATATATATATATATATATTGTTTAAGCATGGAGATGATGATCAAAGGAAATCAAATTAAAATTATGCGTGCCTATAAAGTTCAAATTTTTATAAGTAACTTTACTTATTTACTTTATAATTAATTACAATTTAAAACTTTATACTTTTAGCTTACTGCGCACTATTAATCCCAAACCGAATATTTATTTCTCAGATTTCTAAGAAATTATTATATCCTAAGAAATAAAGTGTTGATTAAAACTTAAGAGTCTGTGTCAATTATTTGTTGATGTGGAATAAGTAGAATATAAATAAATTTTTTGTTTTATATTTTTTTTAATATTATCAAATTATACCTTTTGTTGTTTTCTGAACGTTTTATTATATTTAAAATGTACTATGTTAGCCTACCTGTACATTCATAGGATAAACTATTCAGAATACTTTATATAAAAACAATTAAATATAATTTAACGAATGGAACTTCGCTTTTAATTCCAAAATCATGATATCGCAATTGTCAAGAGTATGTAGTATTTAACTTCACGCGTTATCTGATCATCGAACAGTTAACTTATTACACAATACACAATATTAAATATGTTATATCCAATTAAATAAGCACCTTTGGATATTATTTTGTATGGCCATTGGTATAGACTATACACATTCATTAATACAACTGAAGATTGTTTAAATGGTTTTGAGATTGGAATAATTAATTTAATTGGGAAATTGACCCTTATATTATGTATAGTATGTGCATTTGCACTCGGTTTTAGTATATACAATTTTATTGAACACGTTTTGTGGCTTAATTCGTCTAAAATTGTAAGATTAATGACTTAATTGTAGACTCAGGTTATATAAAACAGCCTTAGCCTCAGACGAAATGTAATGGGACTATACTCGTAGGTATATAAATTATAAATATGGTTTTTTTATCACATCTGCAGATTTTTATACGATTTACAGTTTAAAAAAAAAAAATCCTTGATATTCAACTTAAAGGGTGATTTATTACATACAATTAGATCTGGTTATTATTTTTTGGATAGTCAACTTTAAAAAGTATATATTATTTTTCAAGTTATTAATAAAAATAAAATAATAAGAAAAAATGAAAATTTTTACCCAAAATAAGTTTTTGACAAAACTGTTATTCTTATTATGTTGTAACTTAAAAACGAATAACCATAGATACTTGATATTCTTATCTAATTAATATAAATAATATAATAAATTCACGAATACAAATTAACTCAACCTACAGTGTTCTACTTTAATAGAAGTATAAATATATCATAAGATAAACTTTAAAATATAGACTGCTTGACAGTCTATCTTTGATCAGAATCGTTTTTCGTATGCAATGGTTTATTATTAAATTAAAATTTAACACATATATTATATATAGTGATTACCTCAATACCGAGGTACAGTCAACATCTACCGCACAACATAGTGGGTAATTAAACAGAGAATCTAGAATTTTGTTAATACACAAAATATATGAATAGTTCGATATTCCACCATACCGTATAATTTCTATTTTGTTTTAATATCTTATATTATAAAGTAGTTTCACTTCCTGGTAAAGCCTTAATACTAATATGTAGGAAACTCTAAAATTGATTTATTATCTTCTTGTCATTTGGAAAACTTAAGGACAGGACTAGTTTTCGTGAACAGTAGTTAATATATAAACTATATATGCGTAATTTTGTTTCCGATCGACATTTGTCTTGTCTTCGTCATATAGATCAGTTAAAACAGCCTTATGGATTGATGTATTCAAATATTTTCCCCAACCTTACCTGTCATCTTTGTATCGACTTTTGAATAATATTATTGCTTATATTATTTTTATATTATTCAGGGTTATTCATTAGTCATACTTAAACTATATTATTATTTAATTATGATTTTTGGCTTTAAAATTTAATATTTACAGTAATACGGATCGTTTTAATTTGAAAAAAAAATATTTTGAATCATTACAAAAAATTATTTAAATATTTTCATATATTAATATTTTTAATATAGATATCTAAAAATATAGTCAGTAAGTTAGATACAAAAAAAAATTGAAGACACACAATTTGAATAAATGCACTACTTAAGGATAAAAAAGAGTAAACACGCTAGAAAAATATCACCCTGTATTTAGCACGTATCGAGTTTACGTCGATGGAAAAAATTGCGACCTGTAAAACCACTTGATAATTCATAATGATTAATCGTCCGTCAGTTTTTTTTGATTATAAAAGATGAAGGTTAAACATTTTTGTTCAAGTATGCATTGTTCCTTGTAGCTTTTATTTGAATTTATTGATATAAAATGTCTATTTCTATCCTCTTACAGACTTTCTTTCCTTTCATATATTTATTGTAAATTGTTGTTTTCTCACTTATTATTTTTCAATATTAATATAGGTAATTTGTAACATGTACAATGACATAATATTATAATAAACATGTGACTAAAATAAAAGATTAATCTACCAAATATTTATTTCACACGCTTATTGTTTTATAAAATTTAAAATTTGGTGGAATTCATTTGTTCTAACTTATTTATTAATTTGATAGTTATTTATATTTCTAAAAAAATATTTGTTAAAACAACTTTTATTCAGTATACTCGATTTATTTTCTACCCAACGAATATACGTATATTAAACATACTGAAACAATAAATAGTATAAACTAAATAAATATTTCTATATTTTTATAGATAATATTAATTTATAATTTATAAAATGTTGATATGATGTATTATTTTTATTAAGTATAGACCTAACCTAACATAACCTAAGTATAGAATTCTATAATTATTTTAAGTCTTGTTATAGAGAGATAAAAGAAAAATATAAGTTTATTTTTAATGACATTTGCAAAATATTAAAAACTTATTTATGAATAACTTATGAATACATTTTGATATAATTATTTAATCATGAAAAAAAATGTATTGTACCTAAATCTATTATAGTTCAACAAAATATTTCCTCAATTATATTTTAATAATTAACTAATACTATCAATATTAACATTGTTATTTTTTATTATATATAGAAATAATAAAAATAAATAATAATTAAATGAATAATAAAAAAATTGTAATACTTATTATCTACATATTTATTTATTTTTTATTACAGAAATGGATCTTTATTTAAAAAATCAAGAACGAACACTCAAATTTGGACAACATATTTAATTCTGAAAGCTTAGTGGATTGAAGTGAGAATTTTAAAAGATATTTTTAGATTTTAAATTAGTAGCTATAAAATATATTACTTACCTACATAGTTATATAATATAACATATTATTTGTATGTAATAAAACGTACGTTTTATAGTTTATATATTATCACCAAGGATCATAATTAAAAAATAAAATAACAATTTATAAACATTCAAATTCATGTACAAGTTGTGTTCCAAAAAAAAAAAAAAATATATCTATAATGGAGCACACAAATTTGCGCTATGAAAGTTACTTAAAAATCTTTACTTAATTAGTGTTGATATTTTAATTTGTTATATGTATAATATGTATATAGTATATTATACCACTGTAAAATGATTTACATTTCCAAATTATTAAATTATTTCTTTAAAAAAAAAAATACTCAAACCTCTATTAGATCATTACTATCCATTAAACATATATAAATAAAAATTACTTTTATATTATTATAATTGAAAAAAAAATGTATAATTAATATTATCTTCTAAAATAAATGATCATTCAGTAGTTTAAACAGTGTTAGTAACTAATTAATGATTATTTGATAAGGGGTTAGGAAATCCGTTTAAATTTTCAAGCGACAATATTTATTGATCTCTTATGATATGGTCTTATACAACTGTATTAGTCACAAACATTTAGTATCAATTATATGGCATATGATTTCTGTGCCTCTTTTGTTGAATAAATAAAATACTTGACCATGTATGCCATTCTAATTTTAGTTCCAATGCGCACAATTAAATTACAGTATTTTAAATAATAAAACTATTGCACTATACTTCACAGTAAGGCATTTACAACGCTTGAATTGTAAAAAATATAGTGCAATTTACATTTCAGAAAACATTATGACTAAAATGTCATTAAAATTAATTAGATGAGATACGCTAAATTATGTTTTTAATTTAATTTTAAAGAGGTACTATCACCCCTTTGACACCATACTTCGAGTACTGTCAATGAATTACAAAAGTTAGTTATTAGACGTAAGAAAAATATATTTTTTGGATTTAATGAAACATTTATATATTCGAAATCGAATTTAATTTATTTCAAATTATATACCATTATTGTTTCAAACAACTGAAAAAAAGAATTTTGTTTTAATTTTAACCAAGAACAGATCCTAAAGTTATATAATAAATAACATTAATGAATGACTTATAATTGAGACGTATACATATATTAATTGTCTGTTCCTTAGCATTCTCTTTCCAGTGTATTTATTTTGTATATTATGGCTGTTTTAACTCAACAAACAGATACAATTTAAAATTACGTATTTTGTCTGAAAACCATTATAAATCAACTCAATACGATAATAATATTATACGTGACTATTTTGCATAAATACAAGGTATTAATATCATAGACATAAAATTTATTATAACACTAAGATCCGTTTTACAAATTTATTTTAACATTTCTAACTTAAGGTAAACAAATATCATGATAAATTTCACTACATATTACATTATATTTCATATATTTTATAATGTAAACAAGTAAAGTTTGTGGTGTTTGCTATAATATATAATATGTTTGTTAATTCTACGTGATATATTTTTTTTTGATTTATTATTACACTTTTTTCAACCACAAAAATACTTTTGACTTATGAGTAATAAAATAATATCATATTTTAAAACACTTAAAAAAGGCAAATACTTTTTTGTTTATAATAAACTATTTTTTAATGATAATTAATTATTTTTAAATATTTATTTATTGGTAGGTCAGATAAAAGAATTTCTATGGATATACGAGTAATATATGGGTATTATGAATAATATATCTAAATTTTATGTAAAAAAAAAAAAAGTTAAATTGAAATGTAATCGAAAAAAATATATATCTATATTGGCGGAGCGTTGAATAGAAAACTATTGTAATGTTAACAAATGTCAAATGTTTTTTTAAAGTTTTTATTTAAATTTAAAAATCAAAAGTAAATGACTAAAAAAGGTTTAAATTTATCGTCTTATCATAATAATTTTATTAAACTTATTTGTTTATACGTAAATACTCATTTACTTTTAAATTCAGCTAATATTAATATTAATAGTATTGTAAATTTATAATCTGTAGTGATTTAATTATTAGTTTATTAATTCATGAAAACATTTGAAAAATGTCGATTTAAAAATTGTTTTCATTATACTTGTATTATTGGAAGAGAGAGTCATAATAATTATACCGGTTTAATATTGATTTCTGTTTTCTAGTTAAATTTTTAACAAAGGATTGTATAGCATATTATTGTAATTTTTTAACTGCCAGTTGTTTGTATCTATATAAAGGTTTTCGACTAATGGTATAACTTGCAGTCATTAACATAGAATAATTGATATCTTTTTTACAGTAACTATTCAATTTTTTATGATTATTTTAAGAAAAATTTATATTTTTGATATATAAAAATTTAATACCAACTATAAAAGTATATTTTAAATTATATAATAACATATATATATCAGTAGTGCACGACAATATATTGAGAGATACGTAAGTATTCAATAATGAACTAAATTTTTAGAAAATAATTTGATTTGCATTATATAACAATGTAAACGGGTATTATTATATGATGAAAATGAATTACGATGAATATAGTTTTACCGTTCATTAATAAATACAAATACTACCATTGAAAATATGCATGATTAATTTTTTTATTGACTTTTTTCTCCTTCTTTTTATTATTATTATTATTTGTTGAGTTTTGAAATTTGAACAGCAATAGTTTCATTCATCCTTATGTTCGACAATATTGGCCTGTCGCTATTATACACTTTGATTGATGAACTTATTATTTTGTGAAATTTTCGTTATCGAAGAATAACAATTTTTATTTTATTATTAGTGGTTTTCATAAAGCGACAATATTATTATTAGAAATTGTATTACGTTAATACAAAATATTAATATAATAATTTTTTATGATTTATATTCATGGCATATATTACCTATAAGAATATATTAGTATGCTTGCTTACTATCGTATTCATGGTTTTATATACACTAATTATACATAAGTTAAGCATGGAAAATAAATTTGTTATATTTTAATATTTATTAATTTAGTTAACGAAAAATGTTGTAGAGTATGATTTTTGATACAAAATTGTATCCTATTATAAATAAATTCATTACTTATCAAAACTTTTAAGAAACATGGTCAGGTTTTATTATAGTTGTGTGCGTGATAAGTACACAAGATGATTGTCAATTCAAAATATTATGACTTTGTATAATATGTATGTAGGTATCTTAAGTTTTGACTAAACTTTATTATTATTCAATTTTAACGTATTGTTAAAAAAAAATAACGTCTATTTCCGTTGAAGTATTATTAGATTTCGAAAGTAGCGTTGACAGTGTTGGTTATACAATAGATTTTTTTATTACATATACATACAATTGATTGGAAATATTCAATGCAGATGTCATATGTTTTCTTTTTAGCTTCTCAATCATGTTAAATGTACCGAGGAAAGATATATAGAAATTCTACATGAATTAGATAGGTACAGAATTTATACAAATCAATATTTTAAATATCATAAAATATTTTGCTAAATTATTTGTTTATTTATCAATTTTTTTTTTTAAGCTTAGAAATTTTAGACCACTTGCTCTGGGATTATATTATGTTTGTTGCTGTAGGATATGGTAAGGGAATCTTTAAGTTCATATTTCCGTATGTGGTTTATTGCTTCTTCACTAAAAATCTGGAGAGGTCACCTATCTAATAGCTAGCATCATCAAACGGTATTTGGCCGCACAATTTAGTGATTGGGGTCAAAAACCATCAAACCATGCCCATTAGTTTATTATAATTGTAATTTTATTCAAAAATTATTATTCTACTCTCATGATTTATAAAATATATTAATTGTATAAATTATGAAGTTGATTATACTTAAAAAGTCTTAAATTTATTAATAAAATAAATTTATATTTTACTTAGGTTATTAGATTGTTATGTGTATATAATTATCATAGCTTTTTTTATCGTGATTCGTGAATAACGAGCTAAATCCTATATCATCTTACCTTCGAACGAGCTTTGACTCTCTCCAAAATTAATTGGTAAACATTGATAGTTTTGAAGAGGTACAATTTCATAAGTTTGTTTTATGCTCTACGTTTGTTCCTTCTAAAACAGAATGTCTCGAAATTTCGCATACCACAGCGCAATTTTATTCAGATTTAGAAATCTATTTTGACTCAAGCACGTACGAGTATATCCCAGCGCTATTCAGTTTAAGTCAAATACATCAAATTTTAAAGTTATTTATTTCTTATTAATATTAAAAATATAAATTTATTTAATTTAATTGATGTTAATTATACATGCTAATAAAACATTTAATATTAATAACATAAAAACTATTAACTAACTAGTTAATTACATTTGTCTGTTATTTTTGTTACACTCTGTATATACGTACACGGCAATTCAAGATGTGTTCAATGTTCACTCCCATTTTTACTGTTGATAATGTGTTTAATAAAATTCGATTTTTGATATGTTTAACTTTACCTTTTTAAGTTATTATTTGAAAAATACAAAGTTTTTATCAAATCATATCACTTCTTAAAAGTTTGAAAAGTATAAATAATTGAAGTACTTGAGTATACGTAAAAATTCGAATAATTAAAATTTTAATTAACTCATAATTAGAGCATGGATTTCTATGCAATTGTTATTTTTTTCCTTTTCACTTTTTTGAATTATTTTTAGTTATCTTCACAAATCATAATAATTTGAATGTATTAGTGAAATATTTTTTGCACATAATTGCATATTTTTATAAAATTCGAAATTTATTACATATTAAAGTGAAAAATTTTCATTAAGTATTTAAGTAATTAATTATCATAAATTGTTTAATTTGTGAGTTTTAAATAAATAAAAAAAACGTTCTAACATATTTATTGCATATTTTCATGATGTTTACTAAATATTATATGGCATATTTTA